TACTTGACTTTAATGATTGCTTGGTCTTAGTTATAATGATCAGCTGTTATGATAAGTTTACATGGAAATCAAAAGCAAAGCACTCACTCAAATACTTCCAGCGGAACCTCTACATCTTGAACTCGTGCTTTACATTTCTCTATTTCCCTCATGTTTTCCATCATCGAGTTTGTGAAACAAAACAAAAAACAGATTAAACTAATAAGACGTGGATAGGCCACTGGAAGGAGGAATCTGTGTATAATTATTAATTCCGATCTGCTGTTTGGCAAGATTACTCATGATCAACTAGCACTCTTTAAGGTGACTGATGAAATCCCAATGTTAACAGTTACAGAGGGAGACGAACATTCATATTTAAGCATACATTTAAGCCAAGTTTTCGCTTTCATTTCACTGAAGCGATCACGGTTTTGTATTAATCCATCCCGAAATTATACATGGAACGCTCGAAGATAGGTCGCTTACATTTTCTGATTAAGAACACCTTGACTTCCAGGTTGAAAATCACTGACAATGATTCCTATTTGACGTGTTGTTTCTACAAACTGTTCAATTGTTTTCTAGCAACTCAAAGCTTTCTGGAACCTTATCATCCGCCATGATCACTCTCTCCCTCTCTCTGGCAGCCCTCGTTGCATTGTGGGAAGAATAGAGGCCCTCGCTTCCAAATTTTTTCGAGGATTTACCGGTAATTAAAACAAACTTTATTCTGGCAATCTACTAATTTCACTCAACAGATTACATAAATTTTTTGCGACGTTTAATGCGTTAAACTTTCTCTTTGTGATAAATCAAGGGTGATTACAAGATCAATTCTCAAAATAAATGCATCCCTGATTCAGTCACAAGATTCATATAAGGAAGCAAAACAGGCCAAACATTACTACCCTAATTTTTCAATAAAACAAAGAGTGCAGGAAATCTACAACAATGCTTTGTTGATATACTTTTGAGTTTACAAAACGATGAATATTGACTGAAAGAAATTCAATGACAAAATAGTGACATCCAACTTTAACACCTTCCCAAACAAATACTTTCCCACAGGGCAGTAACTTTGGTCTTGTGGCATAGATGTTGCCAAAGATTAATAAATCTCACAGGTTGTATTCATACCAAGAACACAGAGCATAATTCGTTTAAATTAGATATTTGGCTTTGTAATCCTCTGACAAAAGGTGTTTGTATCAAGTCACTTCTAAGAGGTCTGTAATTCTTCTGGCAAAAAGCAAATTCAAATTTAATCATATGACAGATGGCAGGACAAGGAATTCTAGCTAAAAAAAAAAGTAGGAAGCTCTTAACCATTTCACTCTCAAGATCTCATTCGTAATTTTCCTTACTGCCTCTGAATCTGTTATTGGATACCTAAAGTATAAGGCCTTCCAACAGAAGGGAAGGTGGGGCCAAGCAAGAGCAGGTGGAAGGCTTTCCCTTCTATCTCATACCACCTTGACACCCTTGGAAAGTCTAATACTCAGGCTAGGTATTGGATGAACTTATAATCCCCTCAATGATGTTTTCATGTTTCTCAAAATTTTTCTGCTTGACTCAGTATTTACATTGTATGGAGAAATTATCTTGGTGACTCGTAGGAGTTAAGAGCGCTTCTCTGTAAAAATCAAACATATCGCGGCAAGGGTGGAAAATTCGATTTCTTTCTTATTTTAATGTTTGACAGGCTAGGCTATAACTAAAATCACTGGATACTTTTTTTGGCAAAATATCTTTTTATTTCAGAGAAAAAATACGAATGACGAAATTCCGTTAAAATCGTCATTTTTAGCAGCAAATTATTGCACGAGTTTGA